AACTTTCCCCTGTTGGATGACATACTTGGGTGGTAGCCCTTTAAAAAAAAAAAGCGTGAACTTCTTTAGAGCACTTGGGTTTTCCATTCACTATTTTTCTGATGCTGAAAGTAATGCTATTCATCCCAGAGAAGAATAGCTACATTGTATTTCAAAGGTTTAACCAAAACACTCTCCTCATTTTGCTGCAAGTTTTCCTTCTCTCTTTCAGGATTTTAAAATACATCTATAAACTGGCTGCTGGGTGAAATCATCATTTTATGGTTGATGGTATCTAGTTTAAAAAAAGAAGAAGAAGAAAGGAAATTAATTGCATGATTGTAAAAGTGACTGTTATCTGTAAATATCTGGATGATGCGAATAAGAACTGAAAGCAAAGGAAGGACTCCTGTCCCTATGAGATGAGCTAACGAGTGCTGAATGTGGAATGAGTTTGTTTAAAAAAAAAAGACAAGAATAGAAAAAATAAAATCAATTTGTCATATAAATATGTGCCATTCACAATCTACAGTAACCTACACATCTGTGACTCTTTTCCACCTTGTTTTTGTTAGCCTCACTTGTAATAATTACATAGGCATAGACCTTTTATCTTCTTCAGTTCTGTTTGCCCGCAGTAAAGAAGTGTAATCCAACTTTATTTGGATCTTGCTTTCCTATGACTGTAGATCTCTTGATTCGCAGTGGTGTTAAGACTAGATAGGTACAACTGGAACAAATTGTGATAAATCAGTAGCTATTCTTAAAGGTCAGTCATATTTGTGCATATTTTTCTGTGCTTGATTGGCCACCCAAATGCATACATTTTCTGTCTTCTCTTAATGATATCAGGCTGTTCAGTTTCACTACATGTGCTCCTGCTGCCGGACTGCCAACCACCTGAATGCAGTAGTCCTGGGGGGACAGTCTTACCCAGATAAGCCAGCATTTCTCTTCTCCAGGAGAAGAGAAATCTCACACATCTCTTTGCAGCAGCGGCAAGCGAGCATTAGGACATACTCCTGCGGGTTATCAGATAGTTAAGTGCACTTCACAGCTCCTTGGCTCTCTTTTACCTCTCTTCCCAGACCTTTCCACCACAGCAGTAAGGGACAAGTCCCTACAGTTGATATACAGTTGCCTAGAGCAATGGGCAAAACAGTCTCGGCACAAGTCATGTACCTCATGCTCCTCTTTGGCTATGACAGCTTTTAGGACTTGCATCCTCAATTCCACGAAGCAGCTGTCCACTTGCATCACGAAAGATACGTGTCATGCCACCATGAAATAGCTAGCTAATGCTGGAACATGGCAGTCAAATATGCTGCCAAGGCAAACTCTTTTTGTTTTTCCTGGATCACAGGCAATCACATCATGTTAAGCAAGCCATGTTCCCAACAGTTCCTAGTTATAGTCATTGTTCAAGCAGAAGGAAGAGGTGAAAGTTAGGCTGCTGGAAAAAGCAGTTCCTGTTATATATGTGGCAAGTTGACTGTCCTTTGATATGTATGGATCCCAACTGCTTGAACTTCATTGCACCATCAAGAGAAGAAAAAGTACAACAATCCCCTTTATATCTCTTGTAATCGAATTCAGCCATGATCAACATACATTGTGGGCACTTTAAGTAACTATTAATTATTGAATGCTTGCCTCGTAATGAACTGGATTATCGTCTGTGATAGGCCAACTTCTTGACATATTTTCTAACATGTAAAAGATGTTGTGGAATTGGACTATCATTTAAAATGAATTAAATAAACAGGAAAATCAATCTAATAAAAATGTATTTCCCAAACACTGTAGACTTTGGGATGCAGTCTCATGAGGTTTAATAAAATAAGGAGGTCTGGTCCAAGCTGTACTTGGATGAGAAACCATGGTGATATATCCTAAGGGTGTTCTTAAGAATGGCATCTATGCTACATTCATTAACCATGACAAAATGTCTCAGTACAACGTTAAAAAGATCAGAGGTGCCAATTTTTGCATAGTACATGAAACAGAGCAAATAATAATAATAACCACAACATCAGTTCACAGAAATCATGGCAACTTTTTAAAAGATGAGAGACAAGCTTTCTGTTGATCAAATTTCAGACTAGGTACCTGCATTCTTAGCAGAACTTCCTCATGGAAATACTCCCTTCCCATACCTTTTTCATTGGGGAGCAGAAGGGGAACATATTGTTCATTGCTTCGTTTCCTAAATTATTTAATAGTGCTACTTCGGTTGGCTGCTATACATCATCTCAGAAGTGGGTGACTTAACATGTATAAAGTTCCTCGGGATTGTATTTATTTTGAAAGGGCCTATTTAACATGCAATGCCACTCTCTACAGAGAAGTGGCCACTTCTGCGGTGGAATGCAGTAGCTATTTAACTAATACTGACGAGCTAAATCTCATAGGTATTGTAGTTCAGAGTAATGCCTTTTGGAGAGATCCTCATTTATTATATCATCTAGCTAAGAGTAAATGTTGCTTATATGTCATCTTAGCATGACATTTGGCCGCCAGTAAAAGAGTAAAGATGCTGCTCCCATCAAAATCAATGGCAAAATATTCAGTTTAATTCAATGAAGGTAGATCTGGGCCTCAGGTTACAGTAATGACTCAATATTACTGTCCTCCCTTAAAGATTACCGATCAAGCAACAGCTTACATAGAACAGAACTTGTACCTTCTCTCTGCAGCTGAATATGCTGTCATTCTGCACCCAGCTGGAGATGGCTGGTGGTGGGGGAGCAACTGGAACACCCCTAGTCTCTAGTCAGCTCATAAAGATGAATCAAAATATCTTCTCAAACACTGTTACCATTTTCCTCTGGAGTCTTAACTATTTTTGCCAAAACAAGTTTCCAAAAGAAGGATGTTCATATTGAGAATGTAGTGTTAAAGTGGTGCTAACAAACAAGTGAAAAATAATATGCGCTCATGCTATATCAAATGGAAAATACTACTGTTAGAACTAACATCAGTTATGTCCTGTAGCTTGAGGGTATGGAGCTCCTGGTAACTTTTGCCATGTTTTCTGCTATGAAAGCAGAATATTGCTCAATTTTTTCATTTTAAGAATGAGGTGGGATACCAAAATCTTCAAAACACCATATCTGCAAGCACTGACGCCTCAAGTATCCATATATCATGCATAGTACATCTAAGCACACAAAAGTGAATGTAAAAGAAATATCAACCCACAATAACTGCATATGAAAGGATGATGGTGTTTTACTTCCTTTCCTGCTTTCCACAACATGAAACTCTTGGGAAATACCACAGTATTTTAAAATAACAAATCGATTTATTTAAAGGTATTTTCATATCGCTGTTCTTTGTACTCCTAGTTACAGCAGACATAAAGATATGGCAACCAAGACAAGTTGACAGAAGACACCAGGTCAAATCAATTAACTGGGTCATGCTTCCGTCTCACAATTAATTAAATCACTTGCTATACATTTAATGCTAAGAAAACTGCTAGGTACCTGTGCTGTGCTCTGCTGGTCACAGCTAAGAAATATGGGCTCCTGGATAAAGCCTATTCCCCCCAAATTATTATCTTCTACCATTAGATTTAATCCCATGTTTGATACAGCAAACAGATGCTATATAAAGGAGAGGAAGGAGGACAGAAGTAATCATTCGTCACACTATTCACCATTACAAGAATTCACAATACAGAAGATGGACAAGCAGAGAGGAGTTGCAGACTCTAAACCAAACAATGTTTTTCAGTCTTTATACGACTATCAAACTTGTTTTGAACTCGGTTTACTGGGTTATTAGAATAAATTTCCACAGAAACAATATGGCAACACGCATTTCTACTTTGGATCACTATTGCTAATTCAAAGCCCAGTCCTGTCGAATACTGAGTGCCTTGGCCTTTCCCTTGGTTCAACAGGATCTGAGGCCATTCACTCACCTCAAGCAGATCATGGTTCATGAACAAATGGGGAACATACTTGCCAAACTTAAACAGCCGCTGAGTTGCAAAGGGACTAAGTCACCTCTAAACTGCATATGAAAATACTACATAAATATTGGAGCAACAGTGGAGTGAATGAACAAAAAAGTATGCTGTCAAGAGGTGATTACAAACAAGGCTGTGGAAAACTCAAGGTTAGTTTCTAGCAAAGAAGCAATATAGAAGCTTGCTTCCAGGAGTATGTCATATATTTTGCAATATCTTTGAAGCATAGTATCTTTTTGCACAGAGTGTTTCTAAACAGGATATTCTGATAAGAAGGAAAGATATTTATTAAATATAATGCATAAACTATATATTCTTTTCATGCTGAAAGGACTTCACCTGGAATTTACAATATCTGCTCTGAAAAATTCAGTTTATGGCAGTAAATTACTCCTCATAAGCAATACAAGAATTTTATAAACAATAAAAGAATATTCAAACTTAGCTCTAACACTC